CCTTTCCCTCTACCTTTCCCTTTCCCTTTCCCTCTCCCTATCCCTATCCCGCTCACTTTCCCTTCTGTATTCCTTTCTAATTTTTTTTCTTACACGCTTTTTCATAAGCATTGTCATTTATTTTCAGAGATCGAGAACAATCACATCATGCATTCCCGAGACCTGTATATGTACCGGCACAGTTTGAAAATTCTTTGGGAAAAATACAGTTTGCCAGTATTATTGCACCACGCAAGCTTATCGATATGGATGTTGTACCAAACAGCGATCCTCAATCAGCTATACAAATTCAGCAAAAGGATACGAAACGAACAAGACAGTTGTTACTAGAAATTGAAAGGGTATTAGTTTTTTTTTCAATTCTTAAATTAACAAAATACACGACTCAGGTATTTACAATTATCTGTATTTCCAGTTATATATAGTTCAATTAAAACTTGAAGATCTGCACAATCCTTTGGCTTTGTTTAATGAACAACAGAAAAGTCAAGAAAGCGAAAATGAAGCGAACAACATTCAGAAAAGTAGTAGCTCAGATTTAATAAATATGATGTTATCGGCTTTGCTTCAGTTAATACAAGACGATAAATTAGCGAGTATGCTAAGTATCCGAAAAGGAAAGGTAAGTAAGCTGAGAACAAAATATTGTACACCTAGAAAAGCATAATAACTTCGTTACAAAAGGAAAGAAAAAATGGGAGAAAATTATATTTCGTTCGCTCGAATATTTTTTCTTTACTACAGACGCTGTTAGTGAGATTCTTGCCTTACTTGAATGTAATGGAGCATCGTAATCAGTTAAAAGAATTATGGAACGCGATATTCCGAGGATTAACTATAATAGGTCGTAGAGATTCTCAGTTATTAATAAGCCTGCATTCGGAATTTCAACGTTGGTTCAATACCGTACAAGACTTTGGTACAATGCTTCAACTAGCTCGATCGCTGTCTGACTCTGCTAATCAGCCAATCAAGAACAACAGTTTAGCTTTTGCTCTTGCAAACAAGGTTCGTTTAAAATGTTACTGTTAAATTTTTTAATTTTTTGCTTTTCCTTTTACATAAGTTTCTACATTTGAACGCTTTTCTGTTTAGTTTGGTGTATCTGTAATTGCTTCGATGTTTGAACAAGCAGAAAAATTATACCCCACGGATGATTCTTTATCTTCAGAATGGTCATTTTTCATAGCAAATATCATCGAAATAATTGGTGAAACTCCGCCGTGTGTCGCACCTTGTCGACCGATTGCTGCAAATATGCTCAATCAGCATTTAAACCGACTATCTCATTTAAAGTGCGGGAGGTACACAACTCTGGAACTTCTACTAACTGATGCCAACCCTTCCCGATAGTTAAACGTTATTAGAATATTTTTTGGCATTTTATTAAAACCTGCTTGTTATCATTACTGATTGAACGACAAATTACGTTGAAGGAGAATCACAAATATTTTAATACTGTTACAACGTTAAGATCTATCAAATATTTCTTGCATATGACTAAATATTTTAGTATAATCAATACCTGAGTTTCACATAGTATATCTATACCTTTTATACTTATTTCAAACACAACGGTATTACGAACATGATGTTTAACTTATCGTGTTGAGAATGACATGGTATTGTTTAACATCCTGTATAACGTATACAGATGTTTATAATTTTTTTCTTTTCTTTTCTTTTCCTTTCTTTCTTTTTTTTTTCTTTTTTTTCTTTTTTTTCCTTGTCTTTTCTATCGTATGTTTACTACGTAAAGCAGGTATTGATTAGATCCAACGCATAATACGTTTAATTCTCCTGTGCCCTCTATTCGTCGTTTATCTTGTTTTTTCGTTTTTGTAAAATATGTTTCTAGCATGATTTCATTAAACGGTAGCATACATAATTCAATTTCTACACGAGTCACGCAGCATAATATTTTGCAATAGTTTGCAAATGTAATATATTCTCTAAATTTTATTTGAGTTGTATGTCATCCGAATCTACCTTCGTATCAAAGTAGAACTGGAAACAAATATTTATAATTCTGTACCAGCCCCTTGGTATAAGAAATATCTTTTTCTTCTTTCTTTTCTTTATTATATTTCTGTTCTTTCTCTCTCATTTTTTTTATCCTTCACATATGTTTATATATATGTATGTATATAAACATATATATTTTCTTTTCTTTTTCTTTTCTTCAACTTACATTTCTTTGACGACGAATGGGAAGGGAGGTGTCAGTTTTTTTTATCATCATTTCAAACTGAAACACTCATATGTTCCTGTCAAGAAATAGCACAATGTAGCCGTAAACTTGTAAAAAGTTACATTGCGCTGAAATGAATACGTTGCATTGAAAAGTTTTTAATTTCATTTAAGGGTTTTGCATGGAACAATATGATAAAATCAGCTTTTTGTTGAGCAGAATTAATTGTATAAGATAACACTTAATATTCACGCAAGAATATTTATGTGTGAAAATAGCGTTGTTCGCCCGTTTGCGACGAATCTTTGACAAGGCCAATAAAAGGCACAGGAATCGTATATTCAGTAACTACTTAAGTCTCTATATCAAGAACAGGACTATCGCAGTGGTTTTATGTAACAATTAAGACATTGAAAACTTCCATCGATATAATTTTAATGTGAACATTAGAAAGACACACGAATTTAACTACATTTCGTCTTGTCCATTGTCGGTTTGCGAAATTTACAACCATTAGGTGCGTAACATAAAAGCAGGATCGTTGTCGGATAAAATTTTGCGCATCTATCATAAAATGGTTGCAAAGATTATCGTAGCAAGTAGCAAGAGTACGGGAAGCGATTTAAAATATACGACGATATGGCCTTTGGTACACAGTATAAACGGTCACTTTTTATTGCAGTATACATTTATAAATTCTTATGTACATTTAGCTTGTACATAGAGCGAGTCTGATGAATGAATGACTTCATATATTTTATAATCGGATGCGAAAGAAAATTTATTTTTCACTTCCACGATATAGCATTACATAATTTTTGCAAGAAAAGAGGAAAAAATTATAAAAATGATAAAAAAAAAAGATGAATTGCATTATTTTTCAACGTCTATAGTAATCGTGAAAGCGATAAGTTAATTCAGCATTTCTGAATTATAGTTAATACGTACATCGGATTTATATTAAAATATGTATCACTTTACATCGCGACCCGACACTAATTCTCTCTCTCTCTCTCTCTCTCTCTCTCTCTCTCTCTCTCTCTCTCTCTCTCTCTCTCTCTCCCCCTCCCCTTTCTCTCTATTATTTTATAATGTAAGATCCTAATTTCATACGTTCCAAGTTACTTTCTATTTCCTTCATAAAATATATTTCCTCATATTTAACCAAACTGCCTTTAGGTTACAGAAACTTTTACATTTTCAATAGCAATTCTGGTAAAACTTTCGTCCATACATTCTTTAATGTGTTTTGGCATGCTATGCAAATGTAGTATGAAATATAAGAACTATCGTTTACATTGCGGACCGAGGCTAGAAATCTTGTAGAAAAAACGAAATATCCTTGTCATTTGTAAAATAACGATCGAACGACAACCGAGCTGAAGTGAACATCTTTCGATTCCTTATTCACGGATGAAAGATATTCGTTGAAACTGTACAATTTTTTTAATCTTTGAAATTAAATTGTATTATAAAGTATAATTCGCGTTGTCCCTTGCATATAATCTTGCGAAGTATATATCTTTTTATTCTAATCACCTGCAAAAACTATCGCGTTTATACTGTACAATATTATAATTGATGTACCTCTGATTTTTTTCAAATTAGAAACAATTTAACGCGTATAATATGAACTCACAGAGTTCATACGACTTATAATGTTGACACACACCACACGCGTGCGCGCGCGCCCACACACACACACACACACACACACACACACACACACACACATATATATATGTACACGCATAGATTCATGTATGTACATACAATCATGTATACATTTACATTTTTAGTTTTTATGTTAAAATCAACCGCGAAAGTAATTTAATGTACAATACTGTTTAAATATGAATAGTTAGTATATCGTATAAAGTCGTAACTCAATTTCTCTTTTATAGTGCATGTTTCTAAATATAAGCATAGTGAGAAATTTGACGACGAGGAAGAAAGAAAAATACAGAACAGATGCAGATACAGATAAACTAGAAAGAAAAATCTAATTTGGTAATGTAGTTGGAGAATCATGTTTCATTTTTCATTAAAGATATATTTTTCTAGCAATATCACATTTATTGTTTTGACACGAAATATTCGTAGAAACGACTTCAGACACAGATTTATCCTTTTGGAAGGAAATTTCCAGAAAGATTGATACTTGCTGAATCAGTTTATACCTAGTAATATTTTGATACATGATCCACAATGAAATCGTGTATTGTAAAGATATTATTAATGTGGTCGATGGTAATAATTCTACTTTAATATGTATGCACAGAATCGATACAGTTTAAATTAAATCCTCTAATAAATGTTTTGCATTCTACAGAACCTGTTATCAATATTTCTTCATATTATATTAATATGGGAATCTCTAAAGATATATTTCTTTGGAGTAAGTGATTCATACATACATATGTATATAAGATGTATATAAAATTAGAGAATATTTAAATAAATAAATAAATATATTATATATAATACGTATAGACAATAATAAGTAGATTATAATTAAAGAAAAATGATATAATGTGTATGTACGTCAGGTGTTGCGTATCTACCGTTAGAAAATAATACGCGAGAAGATTATAGAAGACAGTAGTAAAGTAGTGATAAAAACATTTCTATAATACCGACGTAAGTATTTGTGGCGAAAGACTGACATTTGCGGTTCGTTTCTCATTGGCGCTGTTGTTCGAGCAACGTTTCTTGCGTGCTGCTCATTGTAGTACGGTTATTCGTTTAACGAATATTATCTGATACGACGGTTTTTTCTTTTCCTAATCAATATCATTCCATATCAGTATTTTTTCAATCTGTTCTTTCTTCGCGTCACAGTGTAAAAGTTTTGGTTGATAACTTGAAAATTTGACTCCTTAGGAGGTTGTTTCATATTGGCAGGTGTTCCATTCTCATAACGGATGAAATGAATATTTATCTGTGGAAAGGTCATTTCAGTTCGCTCGAAAAATTGCAAGTACTCTTTATACGATCTATGACAAACTATTAAGTTTGGTTGCCGATTAGTTTAATATAAGTTACAAACAACGCGGAATTTGTGGTTACCAAAAGTGTATCTTGGTGAATAAAATTTTAAATCAAATCAAGTAAGTAAAGCAATTATGTGAAAAAAGTTTCTTTATATTCGAATAAAATATATTGCCAGAATTACATATTCCTTTCCAGTATCATCTCTCTTTTCCAATATCCGATATCCAGTTATATTTTATTTTTAGGCTGATTCGAATAACTTGATACAATTCAAATTATCGCTTTGCATCATTAAACATTTGTGTAATAAAATTTTAATATCTTATTATAATATCTAGTACTATAGTGTATTTTATTCGTATAAACTTCACAGAATTTTATTTAAATTGTTGAATATATGTAAAGAGTAAAAGGTGATAGTTGTTAATACATAGCTTAAATTTGCTAAATTTTTGTCCAATGTAACGGTATTACAGAAAAAATTCAACGTGCATGTAATCATATACAGAAAATAACGGTTAGTTTTAAAACCACTTGTTAGATTGTCTCAAGTTTGAATCAGTGTTGTCACGTATAAGAAGCTAAAATATGAAAGTAATTTAGACGCTTACCACTCGTTCTTTATCCAGAAAATAATTATATAAGCTATTACAAGAAATGAAAAAAATTTGGCGATATATTTACAGGATTCATACTTATACAAAGTTTTCTATACCTTTTGTAGGAGAAAAAAATGTATAATAGGAGGTAACGATTGGAGAACTTTAAACTATGGCCAATAGAAAAGACAAATCGTCTGCAGGTTTTGTAAGTATTGAAACATTGAACGTTAGAATTAAGGTACAAAGTCATTTGCAAAGGTGAAGTTGACAAGATCAGTGAACGACAAATACAAACACAAGAAACATAGCATTAAGTTGAAACATGTAAATTCTATAATTCTGTTTACCAATGATACAGTCTGTACACAAAGGTGTATATATGTTACATTTGCTGCTGTATAGTTATTAGCTTTTTTGCTGCGTAATACGATAACGTGAAAACACATTAGTTAAGATAGTCCCGAGAATAATTTCGCATAAAATGGATTTTGTCAATGTTAGTAGGTAGAAAAAGGTGCTCAAGTTTTCGAACACGGTAATCGAAAATAAAATGCTGTTGCATATGAGTCACGATGAGTCGTTCAAGGTAAATTGTTTCACACACAGAAAAGACTATTATTTCACGAAAGCGTAATGCCCGACATACAAGATATTAGGACAAGGTAACAAGCTATCAGGGACGCGACAATTTAGTTCGATATACCTTGACGTTTTTTCATTTTGTCGTATTTGTTTCTCTCTCTCTCTCTCTCTCTCTCTCTCTCTCTCTGCCTCTCTCTCTCCCTCCCCCCTCTCTCTCTCTCTCTCTCTCTTACGCACTCAGACTAGTGTTCAGTCTCTTTTTCTGTCATTTCTCTCCTTTCTCCGTAATCGATTTCGAGGCACGAAATCTTTTCAAATAGTTTCGAGAATATTAAAAGTCTTTGCTAAATTAAAAACCTGTCTTCCTTTTTCACATTTCACAAATTTCAAAGGTTTCAAATCCTTTTCATTTGAAATATTCAAATGTGGATGATCGAGGTACGAGGAGAGGTAAAATTTATTATTTAAAGTACAACCGTAACGAGTATTATTTTTCTCCCCTTTTTTTCTATCTTCCTTTCTTTTTTCTTTTTTTTTTTTTTTCGTCTTTTCTTCTACCTAAACTAGGAATGTCGAAGAAGAGAAATAAAGAGCGATAGAAAAAGAAACCGGAATGAAAGCACTCAGCTGTCGGTCATAGTAGATTACATCATCGATCATTCGCACAACTGATCTCATCCGTGCGTGCAATTCTTTTCTCGTAGCTGCGTCGACATCATTCTCGTTTAGCGTATTCAGCATTATCAACGAACTATCGACGCAGCTTTTATAGTCATCAACACATTTGGTGGTTAGGCGTGGACCTCGAAAGTGAAATCATACCGAAAGACAACACGTAACATTTTTGTGCAAACTCGTGACACAAGCGATGCTTTGATCGTTTCGAGTCAACGTTTTTATACGAATTGTCCTAACCTTGAGCTATTCGCGATCATGACGTACTCGTTTAAACAACGAGAACCGTGACGTATGAAACTCGAACATGAGTCACGGTGACTTTCGTCATTTTATAGGGGTTGCCAATTATCGACACTCTCGTTTACTCGGTTTTCCTCGATCGAATCGAATCGTGAAAGAGCCAAAGCTCTGTGGAGTGGCGAAGTGGTTTCGCGTAGAGGAGAGAAAGGGAACGATAAAACGATAGCAAGAAATTAAAGTTGTCGGGAGAAGTCGTTTATGATAAGCGTGTGGAGGTTGGAAAAACGGTTCTCTCCGTTCCGTCAGTAAACGCATCGAGAGGCGCGAATGCGTAAAGACTGATACGCGACTGTGCAGTACTCTGCCGGACGTGGGTAGACTCGAGTGACTACGCACGCGCGTTTCTTCAATATCGTTGGGACCAACGCGATCTCGATCTTCCCTTCTTTCGACCCGTTCGATGACTCGCCTTTCGTGTTGCCGTTAACTCGATCTTACCTTCCGATTCGACAGTGTTCACTCGTTAGCGAGGAAACCTCTCGTTCTACGATTTAGTAACTGTCCAAGATAAGGACACGTTCGCACGCGTTAAAATCCATTCGAACGAATATCGTGCAAACGAAGACGCGTGGTGCTGTGCCGTGCTGCCATCGTGCCGGTTCATTGCTATGCTGAAACGAAATGAAAACTACACTTTACTCGCACTTGGTTCGATCGACGGTCGTGTGTCGTGAGCTTCGTGGCATTGAAACGTCCTTTTTATCGTAAATGCGCATTCGATTTTAACACAGTACCTTACCTTTGGATCCATCTAACGCGATAAGAGAATTATATCAAATGCGAATCGTGAATTTTTACGAAATAGAAATATCCGGAAAGGTGATTCAGCGAGAGGAACTTTGATGAATCGCGCGATTGAAGCGCATCGTTACCGTTACCGTAAAGTAGAAGGGACTTGAATCTTTGGTTTCTCCAACCACTTTATCGATGATCACGGATTGGGTAAGATATCGTTTTGAAATAGAAAATAGCGGAATCGCGAAGGAGAAATTATTAATCGGAACGACGGAATGACCGCAATGTCACGTTGATTTCCCGATGATCGACCAAATGAAAGCCGAACGCGCGCGCGCGCACGCGTACGAAGCATCCTTATAACGCCTGAAAACAACTCGTGTTATAACGTTATAACGTTTGAGCGACGTACATATGTCTTTCGTTCGATTTTACAGTTGATACTAATTTTGTTTTCATTTTTTCGTTGTAGCTGGACACATGGTTCGGCCGACCAAAAAAATCCGGGCGTGGAGTTGGGGTCAGAAGTGGTTCGGGAAACAACACCATACCACGACCCCATTCCGGCGATGATTTCAATGAAATCGAGCAGCAACGTTGTATCATCGAAAGGATGGACAAAGAGACGGTGAACGACAAGTTCGAGGAGATGTTGGTGAGTTGACACCGATCACACTCGATTGACCGGTATCCAAACACGGTGGTTTCCGAGATGATTAAATTTTCGCACAAACAGGCGAACATGAATCTGTCCGAGGAAAAAAAAGAGCCTTTGCGGCAGCAGTCGGAAACGAAGAAAAAGGAGATGCTTATTTTGCATTACAAAGGTAGCATACAGGAGAATAGGTCAAAGTTCGATAAACCAGCGGATTACATACAGTATTTAGCGCAACCCGACTTAAGTGTCAACAAAATCTACAATTGCATCGAATCGTTAAGAATAGCATTGACGAACAATCCCCTGAGTTGGGTTCAAGAATTCGGTACGAAGGGATTGAAACAGGTTTTAGCAACGCTGAACGAGTGCTATCGGAAGTAAGTATTCCCGGTAAAGAATATCGTTGCGTTGTGTCATGGCATCGGTATTCGATATTGTCCGATTAAGAATTTCTAATGTTCGTGTTATTCTATTGCAGTGCCTTCATATATTACGATAGGTAATTTTCGTAAAAATACTATTCGCTTTAGTTTTATTAGCAAATTAGAATTTTCTGCATCGTTTCCTTTTTTTTGCTCTTAGCATTCGGTATTAATGTGGGTGCACGTTAGCGTATATGATAGCGCGCGAGATAGTGTATGCGAGAAAATCGCCAAGGTTATATACACGTATCACGTGTATGTACGTTGTATAGACGTAATACGAATTTATAGGCAAGATTCTTCAAATGGGACTCTCCGTACGAAGAATCCATTCTTCCCCGCAATAGTTTATTTTCAAAATATAGTTGCAACGCTTCGGTATTTAGCGTTAAGCAGTGAAATGCGTTATATCGACTTGTTCTTTACTTGCATGGTGATTTAATTGCCTGTTCGATACTCTGTACAATAGCGCTGAACGACTAGTCGAAAAACAAGAACCACGCGAAATTAGTCTTGTCGAACGCGAATGCTCGTTCTATCGATACGAATT